AAAAGAAAAGAAATAATTTTTAAGGAACTTCAGAATATTCAGCACACCTTGGTTATCATTTGGGAAGGCTAGGAGTTTACTTGTGTGGACTCATGGTATAGAATTTTATAGGCCCACATGTTGACATTAAGACTTTCACTCAAGAAAGAATGTTAAAACAGTTAACAGTACCTTCATTAGTACCTTAATTTGTCCTGTGAAAGTTAAGCTTAAGGTATGGCTTCCATTTTTTTTTTTTTGAAACAGGGTCTTTTATGCAGTTGAAGCTGGCCTTGAATTCACTATGTAGGCCAGGCTGGCCTCAAACTTTCAGTGAGCCTCCTGCCTCAGCCTCCCAAGTGCTGAGATTACAGGTGTATGCCACCAGGCCAGGCTGTAGAGAAATTTTTCATTGTTTAATTTAGTAACTGATTTAGAATAATTCACTAAAATATTTTCAATACCTAATAATGTGCCTTGGATAAATTATTAATAAACCAATGCCAATAATTTATTTTTTAGAGAAAAAATTGTGCATTGAAGTACCAAAAGTGGGGCTTACATCCCTTCACTAGGAGGAAGCTCCCAGAAGTGCTGTCTTCTAGGGTGAAAAGGTGAGGGAAGGTAGGAAGAGTCTGGAGGTTTTTGTCTTTATTGATTAGAAAGAAGAAAGAAGTTGATGCTGAGTGTTTCAGAGAGAACAGATAAGCAGGGAATTTCATGACTTGACATCCAAGGATCCAGCCAGAGCTGAAGTTTGGAAAATCCTCCAAACTTGGGCACAGAAGAAGCTGGCCAGAGAAGACTGCTACTGACGGCAAGCTGATTATGTGCGAGTGGGCATTGATTTACTTAGCGGAGAAGGGGTGTTGTAGGCAGCAAACAAGTCTGTGAGTTCAGAGGCCCTGTTTCCAGTAGACTCACTTCCACCTTCCAGGTTCCCAACTGACTTTGCCCACTGCCCTTATCCTGTCCAGAGCTGGCCTCTCCAGCTGTGTGAATCAGTTAGGAATGAGTGACTGTGACGGGCCAGGCAGTAGGGACCCACCATCCCCCAGCCGAAGCGTGGGGTCTGTTGGGTCCATCTGAGAGGAGCACAGCCTCGCTCCCCTTCTACTGATGGCCAGGTATTCCTGAGGCTCTTTACACCGCAGTGGCTCTGCCCGCTGAGCTGTGAATTGGACAGGAGAAAGGCGTGCCCGTCAATCTGCCCTTCCATGTTTTTGTGGCTTCTAACCAAAGCACACTGCTTAAAAGAGTTAAAGAAGGGCAAATAGCTACTGTTCTTGAATTTTGAACTTGTTCTCTGCAATAGGTTCCCTTTAAATCCAGGACACAGCCTGGGGGTGGGCGTCCCTGCTGGTTACTGAGGTCTGCAGAAGGTGACTGGTGAGCAGGACAGATGTGCGTGCCCATCACCACGGGCTGCACGGTTGGGTGGGTGTCACCGAGGCTCCAGAACTGCAGGAGATTCCACGTGGCATCCACACAGCCCTGCTCAGCGTCTAGTGGGCTCCATGGGGTCCAGGTTTTTCCCTCTCCCCCTCAGCAGAGAAACTGGAGAGACAGACATTAAGTGCAGTGCAGTCAGTGTGAGTGCTAAAATATTCCCAGGCTCAATGGTGGTGCTAACCTATCTCCTGTTTCTGATATTTTTAATGGTGGGCTTTTAAAATACCATCACAAACATCATGGGGGCTGGGCATGGTGGTGCACGCCTGTAACCCCAGCACTTGGGAGGCTGAGGCAGGAGGATTGTTTCGAGTTTGAGAACAGCCTGGGCTACAAAGTGAGCTCAAGGCCAGCCTGAACTGCATGCATAGCAAGACCCTGTCTCAAACAGACCAAAAAAAAAAAAAAATCATGAGGACGAGACCCAGCTGCTTGGCCCGCCACTTTCTAGGTGTCCTCTGTCATTTTGACGGGACTCTTTGGTCTGCAGAAGTGCTCCGTCTTGGCATGCTTCTAGGCTGTAAGATTTGAGTTCTTTTGTTTTCTATTTGGTTTGTGTTTACATGCATCTTGTATTTCCCTGAAAACTAGCTTTTGGCCTTTAAAAAAAAACTAGCTTTTGGCCTCCCCAAGAGGCAGCATCCTAAGGTGCCTTGTGAGATCTGGTGTATTCCTCCCACTCGGCGGTTGGTTAACCTGACCAGGAAGGGTTTCAGAAGATGCCTAGCCGGTGGCCAGACCATGGGCTCTGTTCTCATGGGCTCCTGACACAGCTCCCAGCGGATGGCCTCGGGGACAGGCTTGTCTGCCAAGTTCCCGGGACAGGGGTTATGTGTGACCACTCCCCAGCGCCCAGCTCCTCCTAAACACACACAGAAGACCCCAGAAGATTCCTTTTTCAGCACAGGTCTGTCTACAAGGACAAAGCAAAGGCCCCCTGACTGTGGTGTCCCTCAGGGGTGACCCGAGCATGGAGCAGGCCATCAGGGTCTCCCATGAGGACGGAGACGGGCCCCAGGGCTGAGGCTAATAAAGTGAGTGCCAGACTGCGTGGGGCGGGCCAGCCAGGAAACAGGGACAAGTGCTGGATAAAGTCACAGCTTCATTTTCTTGAAAAACCATGAGGAACTTACCAAACACTAGGAAACTGCCGGGCTAAAATCCAAGCAAAGGCAAGAATATAAATGGCTTAAATGGCCAAGCTCAAGGCAAGCATCTTCTCAAACTGGATTTGTAAAAAACAGTAACAGAAATCAAATTCTCTACTACTGAAGAGACATTAAGACCCATGCTCAGGGCTGGGGGTATAGCTCAGCGGCACAGCACCTGCCTGGCGAGCACGAGGTCCTGAGTTCCATTCCCAGTACCAAAAAACCCCTAGAAACAAACGAAGGAACAAAACCAAACCATGCTTATACTGCACTGTATTTCTAAGCCAGAAAGAGAAGTACCTTGCAGAAAGTATAAACAGGAGGGAGCTGGCGGTTACCTAGCAACAGACAACGCACTTAGGCAAACCCTGCAGTGAAGGGGCCACCGCCCAGCTGACCCCCGGGAGCCACAGGACATGCAGGGGAGGCCACGTGGCGGCCAGGGCGACGCTCAGCATGGAACCCACACCAGTAGGGGACCAACTCTGCCAGCACAGAAGCAGCATCAGTAAAACCTGACTTTGCCTTTATATTTTCGTTTTTTTTTTTTTTTTTTTTTTTGGTTTTTCTCCGGTACCGGGAACCGAACTCACGACCTTGCGCTTGCCAGGCAGGCGCTTTGCGGCTGAGCTAAATCCCCAGCCCCGCCTTTATATTTTCATAAAACACAGCAAACTAGCACTAGAGATGGGCGTCTTCCACACAGCCACGAGGGGGCGCAGTGAACAGTAACCCCAGCAGGTCCTCGCTGGCGGCGGGGCAGGGCCTGCGGGCCAGGGGATCCCTGGGGATGCCTGCACCCTGAGGTCATGAGCTGGTGACAAGCCCCAGGGGTACGGATGAGGAAACCAGGCGCCACACAGGCTGGAGGAGCACGCAAGACACAGGGCGGGCCGCGGGAGGCTTGTGACTTTATTTCAGTTTTTCAGTTCTACTACGCGGCACAGTGAGTAGTCAGCAACAGAGTCTCCTGCATTTTTAACTTCCAAGAGGGGAAATTTCCAATGTTCTCCGGTGAAAGTGTGAAGCGTCAGAGGTGACAGATGTGTTAACTTAGTTATTCCACACTGTATTCACAGAAATGTCGCTTTGCACCCCATAAGCTTACACAGTTAAAAATTATCAATGTAATTTCCTTT